TAAGGCCAAGAGATGTGAGGCCGCTAAGAAGGTGGAAAACATCTCAGCTGAGTCTTATTAATCAACTATTCCAGCAACAACGGGAGATGATGAAATGCATGTTCAAGACAAAACTCTCAGTGCTGGATGAAGAAATCCAATCTTCCTACACGGCCGTAGGGCCTTCTTCAGATGACCAGCAAGCTAGGCTGTACGGCCATCCAGCCCACCACCAAGCCGACCAGCTATTCGGGTATAAGGCAGCAGGCTTTGATATACCATGCCACATTACCGTACAAGAGCCTCATGGTATCTATGGACCAGCCGTCCACGGCAATCAAGCTATCTAGACAACCGACCAGCCAGCATAAGACACCGTACGGTGGTTACATAGACTCCATGGGCCTGCCTTTCATGGCAACCCAGCCGACCGACAAGCAGTCAAGCCAGCCTTTAACACACTGTATGGTTGTCGCACAGACTCCATGGCTCTGCCGCCAACGTTAGGACACCGTACAGCTACACCACGGACTCGCTGTGAGGAGTTGCGTCCCTTGGGCACGCCAGAAACCTATGATTGTGGGTTCAAATCCTGGTTCGCCCCAGTTATGTTCCTAGGTTGGTCAGCACCATACCCGTGCTCATGGGTTTCACCGAAGTGGTAAACGTCTGAGACCTGCATCACCTCGGACTTTCCTCCCACATTAAGCTGACATGACGCGATATAACTAGAATATTGTTAAAAGCGGCGTTAATCCCAACTCACTCACTCACTACTATTGTCAGAATGCAAGAAGACTTACTCTCCTCACAAGTTTGGATGTCTTCACAACTCCTATGGCTACAGCGTCAACAACGTTTAGCCCACATCCGATCAAGAGCTGTTTCTAACCAGACCAAGAGGTTGATAACAACAAAACCTGTATCAGCTACCACAACATTCAACAGAAACAGACACGTGATAGATGAAGTGAGACAAGACACTGCAGAACAATTCCAAACTACAACTATAGTCTGGAAGGTAATTTAAAGTACCCACGTTTACTACAATATCTGAAAAACTATCAGACCTACTCCAGTCAAAGTTGGTTTGAAATTATTAAACAGTCATACATAACTGGATATTACATTTAAAGACAATCGGTGCATGAATAAAAAATCTGTCTATTTAGCTATCACTATATTTCATCAACAACCAGACCTGTTCGTCACGGGTGGAACAAGCATTCATTGAAACAGCCATCTGCATAATGCTACCCCTGCGTCACAGGGCCATATGACACAGTTGAACCAATCAACTCAACTCGAACGGGTGCACGGGAATCACGCACGCACGAATACAGTGTTAGCAGATCCCACCAGATATGTCCCCCGGACATATTCTGGCAGATATGCAATGGAGGTAAGAATTATCGAACAGTAGTTATCATTGTTTATACTTCTAAGAATACTACCTCTATTACATACAAATTACTCCAACCTCCCCAATTCATCTACCTCTAGTATTAGATGAGGGAAAAAAATGATATGGCCGCCATTGTGAGGTCACGGCCTGGGTAGTTACGAGACTACTTGGCAGCAACTAATTGTGTCATGTGTAGGCCTGTACATTTGCTTGCTTGTTTTTATTTGTTGCTTAACCGCTGCGTTCAGACAAATCCAGCCTTATGATGGCGGTCTGTAAATACTCGAGTTTGGACCAGACAGTTCAGTGATTGGCATCATGAGCATCGATTCATCAATCCTAAAAGGGCAGGGCAGCAATGTAAGTACCATGCTGAATGACTGTCAAAACATTTGTCACAATTCCTTATGTTGTCACAGTGAATGGATTGGGCAAAGGTGTCGCAAAGGCCTCACAATTTGTGTGTTCAAATTCCAGATTCACCATGATTTGTCAGCAACATTATGCACACATGTTGTCAAATAATTGAAATACTGTTGAAAACACTTAAACCCAACTCACTCACTCACTATGAATGGACGGATGGAAAAGTATCACCCCTACCCTATTACTTTGTTTGTTTTGTTTGTTTGTTTGTTGTTTAACGCCGCACTCAGCAATGTTCCAGCTATATGAGCGCGGTCTGTATGTAATCGAGTCTGGACCAGACAATCCTGTGATTGACATCACGAGTTTCAATCCATGCAATTGGGATACGATGACATGCATCAACCAAGCCAGCGAGCCTGACCACCCGCTCCCGTTAGTTGCCTCTTACGACAAGCATAGTCACCTTTTACAGCAAGCATGGGTTGCTGAAGACCTATTCTACCCCGGATCTTCACGGGTCCCTACCCTATTACTGTGGTGACATCGACATTTATACCGTTTATGGTTAATTCAATAAACAAACCTACCATCAAACTGAATGTTTAACAGCCTGCCCACACTGGAAACCTCCAGCTTCCACCACCTTTGTAGATTCAGGTTTACAATCAAAGGGACGTAACTCTGATTAGAATCTCAGTCATAAATGAGTCAGAGGACTGATATTGGCGTACAATATGAAACACACATAAAATATTCCATGTTCCACAGAAAGTTTGTGTCCCTGCCCACAGGCAGATCCCAAGGGGTTCAGACCCCCCGCTCTTGAAAACCAAATGTATGTTGTAGGCAGTAAAATTTTCTGACATGATCCAAAAACATACATAAGGCTAACATGAGTGAAAAGGAAGATTGTTCGAACAAGTCTAATTATGAACAAGTCTGTGACATATTTTTGGCAAGCTTGTACTTTCTTTTCTACATCTCCTAACACAGATTGGGACAAAGACTCAGTAAGTTTTCTTACAAAAATAATCATTTTTGACACATTTAGCCTTATCTATACCCACAGTTTTACTAATACTACAAGGCTTGTCGAGATCCAGGGTAGAATAGGTCTTCAGGAACCCATGCTTGCTGTAAAAGACGACTATGCTTGTCGTAAGAGGCGACTAACTGGATCGGGTGGTCAGGCTCGCTGACTTGTTTGACGCATGTCATCAATCCCAATTGCATGGATCGATGCTCATGTTGTCAATCACTGGATTGTCTGGTCCAGATTCGATTACATACAGACCGCCATCATATAGCTGGAATATTGCTGAGTGCGGCATTAAACAACAAACAAACTAATAGTACAAAACAGTTCCTACTGTAAGAACACATATGAAAGTGTTTATGAAAGCGCAGAGTCTGTAGATCAAAAAGGGCCATGAAATTAAGGCCTCAATTATGTAACTGCGGAGGATGTTTCAGTTTGTCATCCACAGGAACTTAAAGCAGGCCTTCCAATGAAAACTGACAGACTGCAACAGAAACTGTCACATGTCTACAACACACAAGGAATCGGAGACCGCCTCCATGGTCTAGTGGTAGAGCGTCCGCCCAGGGAGCGGAAGGTCCGGGGTTCGATCCCCGGCCGCATCATACTAAAAGTTGTTAAAAGATGGTACTTGTTATTACCCTGTCTGGTGTTCGGCATTAAGGGGTTAAAGCAAGGACTGGTCGGCTCGGAGTCAGTATACTGTGTCTGAGCGGGGTATTCATGTTAAACTGCGGCATGGTATCTCAGTGAGCTAGTACTATAAATAGGCATCACTCCGGTCTAGTACAAGCAGCCACACACACACACGTACATGCACGTTGCTATATAAGTGCAATAATCTTGGACGCGACGTTAAACCCAATTTCACCTCACAAGGAATTGGCAACAGAAAACAATGAGAACATAACCCAACACTAAGAAACAGCATCATAAATCTGAGAATATGTTGCAGAAAACATGCAAACGGAAACACTTCAACACACAGACTGCAGCCTTCTAAACTGGGCATGGGCAGAACAAGAAAGAAGTTCACAGTCGTGTCATGACATCCTCCCAAGGAAAGGGAGTTAACTGACTATAAAAGTCCAGTTTCCATCCCTGACGAATTGGGCATGGGCAGAACAAGAAAGAAGTTGACAGTCGTGTCATGACATCCTCCTAAGGAAAGGGAGTTAACTGACTATAAAAGTCCAGTTTCCATCCCTGACGAATTGGGCATGGGCAGAACAAGAAAGAAGTTCACAGTCGTGTCATGACATCCTCCCAAGGAAAGGGAGTTAACTGACTATAAAAGTCCAGTTTCCATCCCTGACGAATTTGGCATGGGCAGAACAAGAAAGAAGTTCACAGTTGTGTCATGACATCCTCCCAAGGAAAGGGAGTTAACTGACTATAAAAGTCCAGTTTCCATCCCTGACGAACTGGGCATGGGCAGAACAAGAAAGAAGTTCACAGTCGTGTCATGACATCCTCCCAAGGAAAGGGAGTTAACTGACTATAAAAGTCCAGTTTCCATCCCTGACGAATTGGGCATGGGCAGAACAAGAAGGAAGTTCACAGTCGTGTCATGACATCCTCCCAAGGAAAGGGAGTTAATTGACTATAAAAGTCCAGTTTCCATCCCTGCCGAATTGGGCATGGGCAGAACAAGAAAGAAGTTGTCAGTCGTGTCATGACATCCTCCCAAGGAAAGGGAGTAAATTGACTTTAAAAGTCCAGTTTTCATCCCTGACGAATTGTGCATGGGCAGAACAAGAAGGAAGTTGACCGTCGTGTCATGACATCCTCCCAAGGAAAGGGAGTTAACTGACTATAAAAGTCCAGTTTCCATCCCTGACGAACTGGGCATGGGCAGAACAAGAGGGAAGTTGACAGTCATGTCGTGAGGATCAAGATTTTGTTGCAGTCTATCAGTTTTCATTGGTGCGTGTAGGCCTGTAAAATGTTGAAAATCAAAAGCTGCATGCTACCTTCTAGGCATGGGCAGTCTGAGTTGCATCCCTTACGAGTGGAAGGATCCTATGAGAATCCTATGATGGGTTGGAATCCCAGATTCATATACCTATTCCTTTGTTTTCCAGCACAATCCCTATGCTCATGGGTTTTACCAAGATGGTAAATGTCTAAGACATGCATCACTTCTGGCTTTCTTCCCAAACATTAAGTGTCCCATGGGTGTTCAAAGCAACGCTAAATAAAACTCAATCACTTGTCCCAAATCTTTATTTGAAAATTAATCAGTTCACATAGCTGAAATAGAAATTACCAGTACATGACAAAATAGGAAATATTTTTTTCAATATCACAATAAACAATATACAAATATATCTCGCAAATACATATGTACAAAAATAAGTCTTGATGGTCACATGGCCACATAGTCTTCAGACACACCACTGTCAACTGTTGTCTCCGATTTACTATCATGTACATGATCTGCTGACCGTGGCTTTTTAGCATAAGCATGTAAATTGTAGCGTTCAATATCATCAATGACTCTGAAGTATCTGTTCCCATGATCCTTTGTTGCCTTGGCTACAGGATGTGGTGCCAGTGCCTCCATCACTGAAGCAGCAGAAGCCAGAATCTCCAGTGGATTGTCTGATTTAGCGTAATGCTTAGTACTGCCACCCATTTTCCTTGACTGCCTCGTTTTCCTCACATCAGAAGCCTCATCTTGAGGAGTGTCCTGTCCCTCCTTCAGGTTCTCGGTCCAGTGAAATCTGGATGGTCCCCTCTCCTTGCCATGGGGGAAGTGCCAACTGCAAACTCGCGTATTAGGTGTTGGGTCAAAGTCATCTCGCCTGAAATGACACAAACAGAGTATGTAAGAGAGAATAAGTCTACTTTATCATCCAAAACTAAAACTGGCTCCCACAGGAGATATTGCTTGGATGAGATCAACCAATATCTACATTGTAGATGTCGCTGCAATGAAATTGCATCACAATGCTTTGCAGACCAATGTGACATCATTGGTTACCATGACGTCACAATCAAATGACATCACTAGTAGTTCTGCTACTGAAGCTGTTGGCAGTACTTTTTAAACTTAAGACACTGCTTATTACCATCTACAAAATGAAAATGGTGGAAGAATGATGTTGGATGATAAATAAAATCTCACCCGAGTGTCTATTGACATCAACTTGGTTTATTACCATATGTAAGTATCATAACATAATTATTACCATATGTAAGTTTTATAACATAATTATTACCATATGTAAGTTTTATAACAATTATTACTATATGTTAGTTTTATAACATAATTATTGCCATATGTAAGTTTTAGAACATAATTATTACCATATGTAAGTTTTAGAACATAATTATTACCAAATGTAAGTATCATAACATAATTATTACCATATGTAATTTTCATTACATAACTATTACCATATGTAAGTTTCATAACATAATTTTACCATATGAAAGTTTTATTACATAATTATTACCATATGTAAGTTTCATAACATAACTATTACCATATGTAAGTTTCATAACATAATTTAACCATATGAAAGTTTTATTAGAACATAATTATTACCATATGTAAGTATCATAACATAATTATTACCATATGTAAGTTTTAGAACATAATTATTACCATATGTAAGTTTTAGAACAAAATTTGATATATGAGCTCTGCAGTAAGCAGCTGAAACGACCCCACAAGATTACTGTTACAGTAAACTACACTTATATCGAATTGTTGGATGGAACGAACAGGGTTTTTTTGTCCTGCAATTTGCTGTATATAACTACGGTTATAATGAACTAGAATTACTGTTCCCCTTGTGTTCGTTATAACCATAGATTACTGTTATTTTGCTTTGAAAAATGAAATAATATAATTACAATGAATATATAGAACTATTTTTATCTTTTTTAAAATGAGTTTGCATCTTTTTTTATAATAAATAGGGGACAAATGTGTAAATTCTGGTCTGAAATGCCCTTATTGAATTCAAACACAGAGCCATGAAAATTGACCCCTCGAAAAGCTGCATAAACAAGAGGTCACCCTGACTGCTTACAGTATTCTGTAAATAATTTCGGCTTCACAATTAACCTAATATTAATGAATAAAAAACAATCTTAACTTGAGAGAATTCAGAATTTGGTGTTGCTAGTCGGAGTAGTTAGTAGATTCCGCCATCGTTGATTACACACACAAATCTTGGGAGCGAGATTTGAGAACAACGACCTATGTTTTGACCATGGTCAACTTTAAGTAGCATAAGGAATTAGATCAATATGTAAATGTTAGTGCTATTTGTCCTGCGAGTATTTAAATAACAGCAAGCCTTGAGATTGACATTCTCACTTAGTGTCATATTCCTGCAACATCATGAATCCCACTAACTCAGATATACCGTATTTGACGTAATAAACGCCCAGGGTGCTCTCAAAATTAGAAATGGGGGCTCTTATTAGAATATTATTTTGGTGAAACAAATAGTTAAAGGATAAATTTTGTGGTTTATATGAAATGTTTATAAACGACAGATATATTTTTCCAGAATTTAATTGACGATAATTTAGGGTGCATATAACACACAAGTGTGTATTATACGCGAATAAATAAGTCTTGTGCACATTGATCAATCAGAAGGGGTGCTAATTGGGATTGTTCACTAGCTCATATGTTAGTAAATATCGCCGAGAGGAGCTTATTTCGTTGAATACGGTAAATATTATTTGTAAACTACTTTTGTACATGGGCCCAAGGCATTATACTGATATCCAAGATAGCCTTGACCTTTGATAAACATGCCACTTACATAATACTAAAAAAATATATATTCCAAAAAAATGAATCACCTCGAGGGGGTTGCACATTAAACTTGGGAGTGCACTATACTAAAAAAATAGGTACATTTGAGGTGGTAGAATCTGTTAAGATGACGTAAATGCAAATATAAAGTTCCATGTCTGTAGAGGTATTAAATGATGCCTCAAAAGCTGACAATGTCATAACTATGTCCTATAGACACCTCAATGCTGACCTCAAATCCTGGAGAAGGCATTTACAAAGTTTTATGATACAGCTTTTTGAAGAGAAAGTGTACCCACAAACTTTCACTGACATTTCTCTCTCTCATGACCTTGACCTCTGATATTCTGATGAGGTGCAAAACAAATTCCCAGGACCGCTTGGAAGAAGTCCATGAAGGATATATTCTGATGTCAAGAACCCTAGCATATTAGACCAAAGAAACTCCCTTCTTTCATATATTTTGTCAGAAAAAATTAAACGCTTTTAGAATTTTCTGGGAACCTGTTCTGCACCAGACTCACTGTGCAGTCAAGAAAGTACTGGAAATTCATTTGATATTTGATGGCCGATTAAAAGCCGTTAATGGTGCGATACATGTCCGCTCCGGTGAACATGTTTTAAACTGGATCCGAGTTCCATAAGCATTTCTTCGTGACACCATGGCTGGGATAATTCAAACAAACTTTCAGCTACATAGGCCTTGTAGTTTAAGACAAGATGTCACAAATGCAGTGATATGCCTAAAACATATTACGTTATTCTGAAAAAAAACATGTACCTGGTGCTTAAAGCTTCAGAGGAGATATAAAAAGTGTAACAGTTACTTGTTACAAACTATAGCTGTGTTACCATGGTTACAATTCTGAAGTCGCCATAGTATACCAACAATACTTCCTGCAGGAAACTATTTACAAGTATGGCTGCCAGATGGAAAGTCGGATTCAAACCTCTTGGACAAATTCAGGTAATAAGCATGTGAACTTTAAGTCTAATTGGTCTAATGGTTTCTGAGCAGATTATATTTACAGTGCAAAAAATGCCTTTTAAGAAAATTTAGGAGCATGGTCAAAGTGCAAAGGTCACAATGTAAAATATTGCCAAAATAGGACATATATGTTGAGCCCTTACACTTGCACCAATTTTCATTACATTTGGAGTGTGAGTGAGTTTGATTTTACGCCGCGTTTAGCAATATTCCAGCAATATCATGACAGGGGACACCAGAAATAGGCTTCACACATTGTACCCATGTCGGGAATCGAACCCGGGTCTTCGGTGTGACGAGCGAATGCTTTAACCACTAGGCTACCCGACCACCCCATTACATTTGGAACAAGACATGACTGATTAATTGCCATAAACAGGTCTTTCAACACAGCTGCCATGGATGCACATATTGAAAATCAGATTCAAAGTTCTTTAACTAATTTGGTGTCATCATTGGTTGAAACAAGCATGTGAAGTTTCAACTTCATTGGTCCAATGGTTTCTAAGAAGATGTTTATGACGCATGACAGACAAGTCACTACAGTCAAGTCTCGTAAATCCGACACACGTTATCCGACACTAATGATGGGAACTGATTAAATCAGTGCTATTTAGACCTGTTAATCCCACTCCGACACACCCTCTCGTTAATCCGACACAGTGATCAGAGTACTCCGTGGTCATCTGCCCGCGAGTACACAGCCCCGTGTTTTGATGCGAGATGAGTCGGCTGGTAGCTGCATACTTCAACAACTGCAACGAACGTTGATACATGTACTACCTAATTTCTTTTATCCGACTTACCAGTTAATCCGACATAATCATATGCAACCAAAAATGTCGGATTAATGGGACTTGACTGTACATAAGCTCACTTGAATTTAAGTCAGATGAGCTAAAAATGGATTTATTAGGGTTATTTCCATGTCTGTGTCAGTGTATACAGGATGAATAAGAATTACGCTAGTCATGAATACAGATGTGACAAAAATATCAATCCAGAAATTGGTAAGTATTTAAAATAAATGGCAAGTAAGAAAAGCTCAGTTGGAATATAAATGTCATACAAACTAGGGCTGGGACGGGTAACTCGGGTACCCAGGTCGGGTGGGTACTGAGGAGGACCCGGTACCAACAGGACTACCCACACCCGTGGTTAGTCACATGATACATTGTCTAATGACTAAAATTATCTGCAACTCTATGGTTACACTACAAGTCACTAATGTTCGCTTTTCTTTCTGACTATGCACCCATTCCTTCTGATTTGTCAAATGGTTGAATAAAGATATAACATCAGTGTCTGCATAACCAGGTTGTTTAATACATGTATATACATTTTGCCAGGGCTATGCTAAAAAAGTTCCCAATCGGACATTTTGAGACATCTCCTGAGACCTACAGTGGGTACCGGGTAGGGTTGGGTAATAGGGGGGCGGGTACCAGAGTAGTAAATTTGGACTCGTCCCAGCCCTAATACCATCATATAACATAAACTTTCAGTTGTTCAAATATTGGGTCCATTTTGAATATTACCTTTATCCAAAATTTGGGATAAAAAAATTCCCATGATACTCATTGATTTTTCCTGAGAGAGAGCTTACATCAAGAAGGAAGGTGCAAGACAATACTTTAGGAGAGATTTTACAGTATGTAGAAGCGACCATGTCAGAGATGGAGAGCAGAGTGCTGCTGATAGGACGTAGTATTGGTTCCTCATCCTCACACAAAAGAATACAATCTGATGATGGGTGATGAAGGACTGAGTTTTTGAATACTGTAAATCTTGAAATTAACGTGAGCGTGAATTAAATGCGAAAAATGCAAGTGGTCTTTGCTCGCATTTTTAAACATCGTATTTATATCAACAATAAGACATTTTGGATAGCAAATATACCAACTTAGACATACTCTGATGTATTCCACACCACTGTTTATTGAGCAGCACATGTATATAAAGTATATAAACAATGTCATTCAAACACTAGTTACGTCCTGTGAATTGTCACTGCTGGGGTCAAGATAAGAGTTCAACTCACTTATGTCATCACTGATCACAAGTCCAGACAGGCGCCACCCTTCATTCTAGCCAGCTCGCATGTATTGTTTTTGCAGAAGTACTTTACTCAGCGCTATTTGGTGTGTGATTGGATTAATGTAAGGTTGGATTAAGGTGAGGATTCTAAACCTGACTGATGACATCTTTAGATAGAAATCCACTGATGCTTGAGAGGAGGGGGTGTCGCGTTCATATTGAGTCGCATTTTTGGCTAGGGTCCAGTGGTATCATTCTTTTGGAGACACATTAATTTCACAATTTACAGTAACCCGTTAATCTCGTTTAACTTTTGAGTACTGTACTAATGGAGGCTGGGAGGTTACAGGCCAGCAAAGCCACATTTCGAAAATAGATAGCCCAAATTGATGTGGCTCTCGCGGCAGTGGTTATGGTTGCGTGATTGTATAATGTGGCTCTCGCGGCTATGCTGTCCAAACATGCTTTGTGATTCTAATAGGTTACCGTATATAACAAAACAAATCTTGTTTTCTCATTTTTTATTCAACAAGGATAACATATTCATCAAAACTTTACATTGATGAATATGAATAGCATATGAATATCATAATGGATTTAATGTCATTACTGCAGATGAAGGAGGTCGCCCACGTGGTCAGCATATTCCATCTCACTCAGGTGTTGGTTCAGGAGCTGGATCTTGAGGGACGCAATACGTGCATCGATTGCCTTGTACTTTTTTCTTCGTTAAGGTTCTGACCACTGGTGAGAGAGTTTCAAGACTGCAACCTCTTTGAGTGACTGCTCTCGCTGAAATAGCTTCACTACCTCCTAGATGTTCGGGTGGCACTTCTTGGCAAGTTTCTTTATCTTGTTGTGCCACACTTCAAGGTGATTGTTGGTACGGTGGCCTTGGTTTTCGAAATGGTTCAAAATCTCTGGCATGAAGGCCCCTCCTTGAACCCAACTGGTTGTCACGTAGTCCATGAAGGCAGTCACTTTAGGGCCAGCAGGAGAGTCAGCAATGGCATCAAGTCACACATCATCCACTTTGTCACGAGGTAGTAGAGGGAGGGCAGCAGCTCTTCTCACCAGCTTCTTCACCTCCTCATCTTCCTTATAGCCCATCACCAGACCTTCTTTCTGCACCCTCCTCCAGATACATTGGGTGAAGTGAAAGAAACACCCTCTAACTAATGTCCCAGGAAATACATCAGTCACGGCATTGTGAGCTGCACGTTCAAAGTCCAACTAATGTGGGACACTCATTTAAAGGTATCTCTAAAGAACACCACGCTTAATAATTTAAATGTGGGACACTCATTTAAAGGTATCTCTAAAGAACACCACGCTTAATAATTTAAATGTGGGACACTCATTTAAAGGTATCTCTAAAGAACACCACGCTTAGTAACTTAAATGTGGGACACTCATATAAAGGTATTGGTAATCGGATTAAGTAATTACCCGCTAGAATAGGTGAAATGCACTCAGCTGAAAATGTGGCTCTACCGGCAATAGCCATTTCTGAAATGTGGCTCTCCCGGCTAGACGCCGGCTGGGATGGGTACCCTAGGTTATTGAATTGAATGAATTACCAGACCCATGTTTGCAGATAAAGAAATATACCCTTCATAATGAGTCCCATGTTTCATTTTCTGTTTAGATAGATTTATTAGAAGTTTGTGGCAAAGACAAAACTTACCGGGACCTTAAAAGTATTCAAGTGCCAATATATATTTCATGCATGTAGTGAACAAGAGGGTCACGATTCAAGTTACTAGTTTCCTAGGCAAAGACGTAAATGTTGATGCAGTAAATGGACACCAAGGTTTTCCACAACAAACTGAACTTAATGTCCCAGGCTTCCACCTGTAACTCCAGATGTTGTCTTCCTGCCTCACTATCTTGCCAGTTCAGACATACCTATGACAATTCCGTGGTCTAGTGGTAGAGCGTCCGCCCGGAGAGCGGAAGGTCCGGGGTTCGATCCGGTACTTGTTGTTACCCTGTCTGGGGCTCGACATTAAGGGGCTAAAACAAGGACTGGTCGGCTCGGAGTCAGTATACTGTATCTGAGTGGGGTATTCATGTTAAACTGCGACATGGTATGTCAGTGAGCTAGCACTATAAATCGGCATCAGTCAGGACTAGTACAAGCAGCCACACACACACACGTACATGCACAGCGCTATATAAGTGCAATAATCTTGGACGCGATGTTAAACCCCATTTCACCTCACCTCACCTATGACAATTCATCAAATTAGTGATGGGGATAGACGAAATAATAATATTGTTATTTACTTCTTATGTTTTTCAGGGTAAGTTACATAACAAAGTAGATATTTAGTTTTGTGAAATGATTTAAGTTTGAAATACTACCAAACCCTACTTAGATATTTCCCTGTCCATATTCCCAGCCTGTATTTCTACCTGTCCCAGCCCTAACGAGTGTGCGCAAATCCAGAGCCATGACCATGATTACAGGTGTCACTCACATGTTTATTTTTGAGTCGCAGTTATCATATCATTAGGACACATACTCTTTATAAAGATAATACTAATTTAAACAACTGTTCATTTAAAAAAATTATCATAGGCCCTATACATACATTTTCGACATTGTTTTGGAACTGTCTCCAAGATATCAGAGACTACGTTATGTTTACGCCCCTTGTGATATATTGCTACACTAACCTACTATCAATGGCATACTGGTCAGCTTGCTTACATTGCTTGATATAGGACTAGCAGGCCCGTTGATGGTAGAAAAGCGAAGCAATGTAGTATTTATTAAGTACCAAAACCTGCATTAACATTGCGTGAGACGAATCGTAAGGTCCAACTCTGGAAGACGTCATGCACTTAAAAGTTTCTACACAGAACATAACATGGGCTGAATGTAACTACAACTGTCTAAAGCAAATCCTCCTTATGCCTAAATCGCAGGAAAAGTCATCAAGGCAACATTAGCCCAATAAACCACACTGACAACAGACATGATGTTAAAAATGAATTAATCGGTGTCTCTTACTGAATCATCAAGATCCATTTCCTTCGAGTCGCAGGATTCGCAGGGAAACGATAAAATGACAAATGAGGATTTGTTTCACTTCTATTTCTGCACTGTGGAACACAACAGTGTGGCATGTTCCTTGCTTTCTGTAACAAACATGTCGTCAAAATGGACCCGGAAGAAACATAGTCACGTGACATGAACGTCGCCGGAAGCTAAATGTTGCATTCCAAAACATTACAGGTCAAGGTCACATGTCACTCGCACGGCGTTGTGATCACGTTCGCAAAGCAGTTGGCACGAGCTGCACGCTGCCGTAGACACTTTTTCTCGTTGCCAGGAGCAGTATTATGTGAGTATTTTTAGTTTTAGGTGCTTTGCAGTCGCTGTCACAGTTATCCATGAAAGCAAACACAACGGTAATAATCACATCTGCTCGCTGTTGCTGGTAAGCTGTTGGTGAGGGGAGGCCTGAGTCCACTGCAAAAGGCGCCAGCAGTCAAGTTTGGTCAGACAGTGGTCAGTAGGTCAGTGGTCAGTAGGTCAGCTCAGAGAGCTTTGAATACATGTATGTACCGGTTGAGATTTTGTACAGTTATATCGTCATTTATCCTAAGCCAGTAGATCTATGTAGCGATCACACACTTAGAAAAGTTAATGACCTCAATGATAATAATCAGATAAGTAAGATAAAGTTTTTATTTTGTTCTATGTTTTTGTTATTGATGTTATCAAGAAAATGAGACAAATTTCTATAATTGACAATGTCTCTAGTGCATAATTTACAACCAACTTTAGATATATCAGGGTTTTACAAGACGCACAAATGTCTGTCCAGTATGCATAAATGTAGAGAATGGACACAGAAAACAATTATTCTACGTCTCGACGGAAAGTCAGTAACATTCATTGTACTTACAGCGCATCAGGAACAGTCATGGTGTCTGTTATTTCGCCCATCAATCATGACCACTGTCCATATGATCATTGATTCATTCCAGGCTCTAAAGTAATTATCTAAACGTACAGTACACTACACCATTTCATTACTTCACAGGACCCTCATATTGCCTGCAAGGACCCTTAAAAGTAATTACTGAGGGTCGTCTGCACCCCCACTTTTGTTAGTCAAGGTAAAACCCTGACCTAATATATGTAACATTTTCATGCTATATTCTAACATATTGAGTTGATGAAACATACATGAACATATATATATACTGACCATAATGTAGACATTTTGTATTTGTATTCTATGTTGTCTAATGGCATGTTCATGATTCTGGTGTTAATATTACCAGGGCGTTTTCTCTCCATTTAACATAGCTTAATAGGAAGTAAATGTTGTATCTTATCATTTTAATTTATTATTTATGCAATTAAGCTAATAACACTAAATATAGGCCAATGTACATTGTATCACAAAGCCTGGACATAATCCCTTAATGTTCAGTTTAGTCAGACCCACAGCTTCCATCCACAGGGATATAGTTAATAATAATAGTGGTAAAAAATAAGTAAATTCATTGGCAAAGTTTCTGTCTTGCAGCAATAGGGCCATCATTTTGCAACCAAACCATTTGTTTTAATTTAATGCATGCATTACCATTTAGTGTATATGTGTCACAATTATTCACATGCCTTACTTTTGCCTATACTCAGTATATATATATACAGTCAAGTCTCGTTAATCCGACATCGTTGGTTGCACATGATTGTGTCAGATTAACGAGTATGTCGGATTAACGAAATTAAGTGATTTGTGATCGAAAATCGGACGTCTTCACGACAGATAATAAGTGTGTGCCTTGTAATAAAATCATTAAAAACGAAATATTTATATTATAATGTTGTTTATTCATTCATTCCTTAATTTATAATCAATGACGGTGCAAAAAATAATAATAATTTTCCCATTTATACATAACAATACATTACTCACTGAATTTATCACATCAACAACACACGTTTCCTCGTGTAAATGCAAGTGCTACTGTCTTAACAACTTGCTTCATCAGATGACCACGGAGTACGATGACCAGTGTCGGATTAACGAGACTGATTAATGAGTGATTTCGGAAATTCGTTGCAAATTAGGTGTGTCGGAGTCGGAGTGCGAGAATGTCGGATTAACAGGACTAAAAAGCACTGAATCAATCGGTTCCCATCATTTGTGTCGGATAAAGCCAAGTGTCGGATTAACGAGTGTCGGATTAACGAGACTTGACTGTATGTGTGTAACTAATGGTAATAAAATAAGAATTGTCCAAGATAGTATGTACTGCTGTAAGAGCTACAGTTTCATGTAGATGATTAGTTTGGGTGGCCCAGTCGTCTAAGGCGCCGCGATTCGCTGTGCAGAGTTGCGTCCCTTGGGCACGCCAGAAACCTATGATTGTGGGTTCGAATCCCAGTTCGCCCCGATTATGTTTCTAGGTTTGTCAGCACCATACCCGTGCTCGTGGGTTTCACCGAAGTGGTAAACGTCTAAGACCTGCATCACTTGGGGCTTTCCTCCCACATTAAGCTGACACGCCGTAATATAACTGGAATACTGTTAAAAGCGGCGTAAAACCCAACTCACTCACTCACTCACTCTTTTAAAATGCTTATACTTCAACTGCTCTTAGCTGGAATCAGGTGCTCTTAAAAATTGTATTCAACCAAAAGACTGGTCTGACATTACTGAACAACATAAACAAATGGTTATATCCATGACTTGACCAACATCTTGTCTCTGAAATGAATATATTTTACCAAAAAAACTGTTGTTACATTATCTTAATAAAATATATAGAAGGAACCCAGAGACTCTTCAGTAATCTAGACTTGCCAACTATTGTAGACTTGCACCAGGTATATTGATGTATTTGTTTCAGGATCTGTATGACAGATTAATGCTTGTAATCATGGCTATTTAGTTCTTAAATGTTTTAATGTATATGTAGACATGACATTCAAAAGGACATATATTGATTGAGTAAGCAGATTGAATATATGTGTGATATCACCTGTTTGTTTGTTTACAGCTGTTTATGACATTTGTTACTTATTTTTAGAGAATGATAACAAAATCACCTACTGCATTTGACGTAATAAGCGCCCAGGGCACTCTCAAAATTAGAAATGGGGGGCTCTTATTAGAATGTTGGTAGAAAAAAAACAGAGTTGAAAGATAAATTCCGTGGTTTGTGCCGACAGCCTCAAATGGTTATGTAAGACAGATATATTTTTCCAGAATTTAATTAGGAGATAAACATACTGTGTTTTCAATGTAGAGCTAGGTTACCTGTAGAGTTAACCCCGCTAAATTGAATTTGGAACCGAACGCGCAGCGTGAGGTTTCAAATGTTAAATTTAGCGCGGTTAAATCTACCGGTAACAAGCTCTACATTGAAAACACAGTATGTTTATCTCCATTCTACCATGACTAAATAAAAAACGCGAACTCTTTGGCGTCAGCATATATATACTGAGTGAAGCCGCATGGGTTGAGTTCAGTGTTTTGAGTGGGTTATCGATCTGAATTACGGAATCACCGAACAAAATATGGTGCTGTTTATACTCAAGCAGTTTGTTAACACCGTAATACTTCACTGGAACATATGATAGGCATTGAAAGCATATAAGCACAGCAACTTGGTAAGCTAACATGAGGTGGACATCCCTAAAGAAAACAAAGCAAGCTTTGCAAGGCTTTCGCTCTACATCGCAATTCACCATTATGACGTCATATCGCTCATTGTGACGCAAAAGATATGACGTCACAGTCGTATATAGAAAAGCGCCAAAATTCCAAGCTATCTGTTGTTTCCAAAACGTACATACATTCCCTTTGTTAATTTCTGTCGTGTTTTTTCTGCACAAAATGTATGGCCACACATCCTTTGAATATTGTAGTAACCCCACCTGTGCATTTTGTAACCTGTAATTGTAGATATAATTATTCAAATATGCCTACCGACAATGACTGAATATAGTACTATTCTATGAATATTAGCTTCCGCGGTGATGCAGCCGTCAAACTAGCTGTTTCAATCAGAGAGGGTTTATTGTGATTTAATAGCCTCTGATTGACCAATCAGAATCAAGTAAATTCCAAATTCATGGTAGAATTGCCCATAATAGTAATTAAGGGTGCATTTAACACACGAGTGCGTATTAAACGCGAATAAATAAGTCTTGTGTACATTGATCAATTGGAAGGGGTGCTAATTTGAATTGTTCACTAGCCAAAAAAATGCAAATATCGCCCTGGGGGCTTTTTAGAGCAGGGCGCTTATTACCTCGAAAACGGTATTTCATATATATAAGGCTTGTTTTGTTTTGTTTTCAGATATTGGAACTATGAGAGTTATAAGACTTGGAACTTTAGTTTCTACCAATTGGCTCTGTGAGCAGTTAGCTTCCATCCAGCACAGCACCAATGGGGTCCTGCGAATTCTTGACACATCCTGGTTGCCAAAACCTGGTATCGATAGCTACTCAGAATTCTATCAAAAGTAAGCATTCCCATTTGCATTTGCTACTTAAAGTGTAATGCCACTTTTAAAAGTTTTAATTATAGCTCTTGTTGTGGGAGAAGCTAGACTCAAGAATCCTTGAACCGCATCCATTCATGAATTGAATTCGTTATTCGTGGCATATAGAATTGAATATTTATGAATATGCAATCATGTGCATTTACATACCCTGTACCTAAAAAATACACGAGAACATATTATATGCATAGATGTCTTCAAAAGACAACACGCTCATAATATTTAATTTGACAGTATTGTGGTCACTGGTCATTGTCGCATTTGAGCAGATACTAGTACCTGGATAAGTGCAGTATATAAATGTATAATATATTAATGATTAACAAACCATGTCAAATAATTTATGTTGTTATTGTTTCACTGAATACAACAAATAATACATCAACTGCTGACTTGTTATTGTATTCGTGAAATAATATTCGTATTCTTTACCTTATATTCGTGATACGAATCGTATTCGCCTCATAGTGTATTCGTTGCAGCCCTAGCCATCACAAAGTCGATCTGTCTTATCACAAAATGTTTCTTGCTCATAAGTTCATAAGCTCAAGTTCCAAGTATTTATCATTATAAAATAGAGATGTTATACCCTGGATGTGAAATCTCCGCGGAAACGCGGAAAATCGCGTTTTTTAAAACAGTAGTCCTCAGAAAAAATCATCTTCCGCGTAAAAATTTAATAATATTTTTTTAAAAAACACTCCGAAAAATATGATCGAAAACTGGACAATTGGCGCGGATTATCCTGTTTTCGATCAGAGATTTCACCAGCATAGGTTTTCGGACATCATACGTTTTCTGTCACGAATACTTGCACTATAACGTGGGGTGTGGCGTCACACAGAAATTGTAAATACTCAGAGTCATCTGATGGCTTGTTTTTAAGATAAAGTTGTCTTTTAGCCTGTAAGTGAATGAGATGTTTTACAGTTGTTCATGTGATAAGCAAGAAAACTATGAATGTTTCTTCAGCGTCCAAAACCCCATGTCATGGGGATATATGTTGTATTAATGTCTTATGTTTGCAATGGAGTTTTGTTTTTTTCATCAAAAGGTAAGTTTTTTTCAATATGCTTCAACATGGGGAAAGGGTCAGACATTGCACGCTTGTGACAGTTGTCCTTGTGTCTGGGGGATGGGGGTTGAAGTTTATGGCAGTATTGCTCCCAGACCTGGCGGGTAGCCAGGTGCGCGAAAGCTATGCCCTGATTTTTTAAAAGTACTGATTTAACTTCGGAATTTTACTGCATCTGCCATCTTGTTTATTTGACTTATTGACTTTTGCCATTGACTTATTACATTTCCTGGTGTGAATGTTGTCCAAACTGCACGAAATTGCTTAAAATGCAATCAAATGTTTTAAAAATTTATGGGGGGGCATGCCCCCAGACCCCCCTAGACTTTTCCTCTTTTTTCCGGAAAACCTGCTCACATCCCTGAATCAAGGAGTACCTGTTTTAGTCAGAAACATTTACCAACCTGAATAGTGACAACATATATACTACGCACACACAATATTTTCATGTGACTATAGTTAATCTGTAATCTGTTTTTCGAAGGGACATAACCATGTTGAAGAGGAATTCCATGTTCTTATGATTTGTGACCAGTATTCTAGTGCAAGAAGAAACTCTTTTCCCAAGCGTCTCGTTACCCCTCCCTCTATTGAGAATTTTATAAGACATGTCAGCTGAAAAAGAGCAAATTATAAAAAGCTTAGGTAAATTTCTCTCTAAGTCATGAACATTCGAACGAAAACACAGTGTTGGACGGTAAATCATTTTTAAGTCTACTCAGCATGCAAATATATATACAGTATATTTCCATTGTATTATGGGCCGGTGGCCTGAAGTACCGAATAAATTTGTCTGTCTGTCTGTCTGAATGGTCTGTCTGTAATGACATGAAAGACTAATTATAATCATATGAAAAGATTGTGTGTTCTTTAACTTCTTTTGCGTAGTATGTATGACATAAGGACATTTTAAAACCTGACCCGGCTAGCAGGCTAGTGCCAGTTTGTATCCCAGAGTGTCTAGATGTTGTTCTTAGTGCATTGTGGGATGGGAATTGACACAGTTCCATTGGGTGAATTCTAATTAGAGTCATCCTTTATTGCCTTAGTGTGCTAGATCATAAGACGTGATATATCAGGTGAGTAAAATGCCGTTCAGTAACCTGATTCAAGCTTGCTGGGGAATGTTGCTCATAATATCAACCACTGGTTATCTGCCTAAGGCTTGTTTATGTACAGGCCAGTGTGATCTAGCTGGAATATTGCTGACTGTTTCCTGACACAACATAATTGTTATTTTGTCCTGATTACCTGTTAACCTGTGTCCTCGTTAACTCCAAGGTAAAAACAGCCCCTGTATCTTTGGTGGTATTAATCTTTAACACTCCTCCCTAATGGATGTCTGTAACATCCAACTGTTCAGCATAACTGGGAGAAGTATGTGTTTTACTGATATATTTCAAAATATGATAAGTACTTATTTTGTAATCATATTCTTTAGCAAGACATTATCAAATTGAGCAATCTTGACTCTGAGATATTATGTAATCTGGGTTATTCAGCCTGTTTTCTCATTGGTCTTTTTATCTATGTGTTAACCTGTGAAGAGCCTCGAGAAAATAGGTTTTCAGGAACCCAAACTTGCCATTAGAGGCAACTGTGGTTATTGTAAGAGGGGACTGACGGGATCAGGTGGTCAGGCTCACTGACTTGGTTGATGCATGTCATCGTATTAACATTTAGCAGTAATTCGCTAGATGGGTTTATAGGCAGCATTTATTTTACATCCTTCCTTTTATTCCCTCTGTAAGTAAGCCTACTAGTAACAGACAAAATTCACCTCACACATGTAATCCCCCATTTACTTCCGTGATCATCAGCAACCGGCAATTACGTCACTCCCGTACATTCACGTGCCCTAGGTCACTTTACCATGGGTTCGTGGCTGCTGCTTCTACAGCGGCATTCCAAATCTTCCTGCCTGATGTTTCCGTCTGCAACTATGCTGCCCACGCATACTGTCCCGTTGGCGCCATCCACACCGCGCCCTATTTTCATCCACAGTCCTCATTTATGACATTGAATTTCTGCTAAACTTTATAGCATACCTACATACAATATCACTATAATGGTCTGCATATAACCCAAATGTGTAAATCAATGCACATGATGTCAATCACTGGATTGTCTGGTCCAGACTCTATTCTTTACAGACAGCTGTCATATAGCTGGAATATTGCTTAGTGCGGCGTTAAACAAATTACAAACAAGTCTGTGTATCACATCACAAGGTCAGTTGTGTTTTTAGTTTCAGCTCCCAGTCACCAATATTCCAGCTAGATCAGGATGTCATGTATCTAGTGTGCCAGGCATAGAAGAGGTTAACTATTTTGACGATAACAGTATTTATAATGGTTAATATTTTGATACCAATCTTGTTGCAGAAGTCATATTCCTGGATCAAAGCATTTTGACTTGAATCAATGCGTGCAGCCTACACCTCTGATACCTCGCAATCTCCCTGACCCCAAGTGTTTCACTGACTACGTACAGGGCCTCGGAATCTCAAGTGACACTCACATCATAGCATATGACAGGTTCAACACAAGGCCTTCTGTGCGTACCTGGTGGCTGTTCAGGGTGAGTGACACAGCAGTGAGTGAGTTGGGTTTAACTCCGATTTTAACAGTATTCCAGTTATATCACGGCGTGTCAGCTTAATGTGGGAGGAAAGCCCGAAGTGATGCAGGTCTCAGACGTTGACCACTTCGGTGAAACCCACGAGCACGGGTATGGACAAACCTGGAAACATGATCGGGGCGAACCAGGATTCGAACCCACAATCATAGGTTTCTGTCGTGCCCAAGGGACGCAACTCTGCACAGCGAATCGCTGCGCCTTAGACGACTAGGCCACCTGTGCCCCCGAGTGACACAGCACAATTCACTTTATTATTCACCTGTGTATACTACCAGGACAGATTAATCATCGTCACATGAAATTAATTGGGTGGTCCTTAACTTATTTTGAGTAGTATACATTGATGACTTTTCAAAACATGCTGCACCTACCCATGAATGAATTTATGCTTTAATTTTGCATCGATTTTTAAAAAGTAATTTTTATCAAGTTTTAAATAACCCGGTCTGATAGCTACTTTGGCTACCTCTTACCACCCATCATGGAACATGATGCGAAATCTGATTGCATGATACTGTTAGAACAAACCCAAATTATATAGTCTTGTCAGATACACACACTAAATAAATAATTACCCCTTGTCAACCATGCCCAATGCAACATGGAGAATTTCATGCAAATATGGCACAAGTTAAGTATTGTGGTACATAACAATATATTTTTAGGCCTACTTTTAGAATTTAGCACCACGAACGTTTACAAACATATCTCAATACCCTATCGCGTAACTTGTGACATTTTGATGCAAAGCACATCATTGACACAATGTCCTGTGACATTGGGGCGCATTTTATGTTCAATTGAATATTTTATCTTCAATGTTTGTTAACTTAATATAGCCTGCAGCAGCGCATTTTAAAGCAAATGCTAATTTATGAAAGCACTTCTATTTTCAATATATTTTATTTTTCGGTTTCAACCAAATTCATAGGTCATAAATGGAAGCTAATTTACATATATTATTTTTTCAAAACAGTAATTTCCATTATTATGCACAGGAATGCCGTCTGTTACGTATATTATGAATATTCATGATGCACACATCCACAACGTTGCCGGTACTAACACTATCTATCTCTAGGGGGTCACAGGTGGCCCAGTCGTCTAAGGCGCCGCAATTCGCTGTGCAGTGTTGCGTCCCTTGGGCACGCCAGAAACCTATGATTGTGGGTTCGAATACCGGTTCGCCCCGAATATGTTTCTAGGTTTGTCAGCACCATACCCGTGCTCGTGGGTTTCACCAAAGTGGTAAACATCTGAGACCTGCATCACTTTGGGGTTTCCTCCCACATTAAGCTGACACGCCCTGATATAACTGGAATACTGTTAAAAGCGACGTTAAACCAAACTTGCTCACTCGCTATCTATCTTTAGCAACATATCAAAGAGGTTTCTAGGCTAGCGATGGGTAAGAGCTGTGCTGCGGGTCTAAGGGGGTAATACCCCCTTTTCGTGCATTTACAAGATGGGAGACGAAGTGTCGACGTGTGCAAATAAATGTACTTGTCAGCTATTGCTTTAAAATTTCCACATTCATTTATACAATTCTTCACACAAAAACGTCAAGAGAGCAAGATAAAATAGATAAAATGCAACTCTTGAAGGGTCCCCCATGTCATATGGGACTGAAAACTAATTTATATAAATAATGAGGCCATATTGACTAAAATTGTGTTTATTGTCATTAATGACACACTTTATTACCAACTATAGGAAGTAGTCAATAGGTAACTGGTGATAGAAACAGTTCAATAGGTACTCTGCAGCGTGTCATCGTGTCCTTGCAGTAGCTGTAATGCCACCCCAGACCATTATGGAACCACCCCCAAATGTATAGTGCGCCACTACTGTAGCATCATGAAAACGTTCACATTGCCATCTGTATACACGGCTACGGCCATCATGGAAGGACAGGTTGATTCTGCTTTCATCATTAAACAGCACTGATGACAACTGACGTTGATTCCAACGCATATGATGTCGGCACCGTTGCAGGCAAGCTTGTCTGTGACGTGGTGTCAGTTGTGGACGAACTGCTGGACGTCGAGAACAGAGCCCAGCAGAACGCAGTCTGCTTCGTACCGTGTTCTTGCTAATGCGGACATTATTGGTGTTAAAGTGTCACTCATCTGATGTGATGTCAGAAATCGGTCACGTATGGCAGGCTTCACAAGGTACCTATCCTGCCTCTGTGAAGTGACCCCAGGACGACCTGGTCCTCGAGCTTAGGGTTGGTTTCAGTGGCCTGGTACATCTGCCACGGCCTCCCAATCATACTCTGAGTGACGTTACAATGTACAGCCACCTGACATTGACCATTGCCAGTTTGAAGCATCCCAATAGCTCTGCCTCGATTTTTAACACTCAAAAAGCGACACATTGTTACATATGTTTCTTGTCATTCACTACAGTTACCGTATTCGACGTAATAAGCGCCCAGGGCGCTCTCAAAATTAGAAATAGGGGGCTCTTATTAGAATATTATTTTAATGAAAAAAAACAGAGTTAAAAGGTAAATTTCGTGGTTTATGCTGACAGCCTGAAATGTTTATGTACGACAGATATATTTTTCCAGAAATTAATTGCCCATAATTAAGTGTGCATATAACAGATGAGTGCGTATTTTATATAAGTCTTGTGTACATTGATCAATCGGAAGGGGTGCTAATTAGGATTGTTCACTGGCAAATATATTAGCGAATATCGCCGTGGGCGCTTATTAGAGCGGGGCGCTTTTTACGTCGAATACGGTAATGGGGTTTAAAACCATGTGTTAATACCCTGATTCGCACATGCAGCTACTGACAACTGGTTGTGTTCGGGCGATACGACTTTGTGACCGTGCACACAATGCTTAAATTTGTAAAAATTTGGTCAGTGTTTATCTGCCCTTGCATTAGTAACATGGGTCAAATATTGTTTTCATTAATATAGCCACAAACATTAACAATAATCTGGTCTTTGACAACTGGGGCTGCTAACTGTCAGTTTCAAATTTGAATAGGAGACCTTTAATTGTATCGTCCTTAGCTATATGGGTGACCCTTAAATGTTGAGTATAGTTTAGTGAGGAATATTGAGGCAATTTGAAACTGTCCACCCAAGCCACTTTCACTCGCTCATTCCTCACCACTCAGTATCTTGTAGATTACGGAATGTGATGAATGTGCCAAATGGCATCGGGATCACAAGGACACCATGCCTACCCATAATCCTCAAAGTGTCTGTGACCTATTTGACCTTTTCCGTTGATTTCTGTAACAATTTAGTCATGACTAGATAAAAGAGTGGACATAGCTCAGTCGATTAGCTGTTGGAGGTGAGGTGAGGTGAAATTGGGTTTAACGTCGCGTCCAAGATTATTGTACTTATATAGTGACGTGCATGCACGTGTTTGCGTGGCTGCTTGTACTAGTCCGGACTGATGCTGATTTAAAGTGCTAGCTCACTGAGATACCATGCCGCAGTTTAACATGAATACCCCACTCAGACACAGTATACTGACTCCGAGCCGACCAGTCCTTGTTTTAGCCCCCTTTATGCTGAGCGCCAGACAGGGTAAAAACAAGTACCATCTTTTAACGTCTTTTGGTATGACGCGGCCGGGGATCGGACCTTCCGCTCTCCGGGCGGACGCTCTTCCACAAGACCACGGTTGGACGAACAATTTGAAAGTCGCAAGTTCGAGTCAGATGGATTCTCACAGAAACCAATTGCTTGTCTTAGTAACATGTGACCAGCGACAGAGATGGTGATCAAGGGAAGTTGTGCTGCTGTATTCTAAAGGTGCTCCGACTTTTTAACCATATCGTGATCCTTGTATCGCGTTATGTATCGTATCATAAGATACACATTTCGTGACACCCCTGGCACTCTGTGTATAGTCCTCTGACTCAGATCGTAGAACTTCCATCAAAATGACTTTTTAGAGCAGGAAACATCCAAACTGTGGAACACTTCACACTTCAATGAACCCATCCAAACTGATGTTCAATTCTTAAATAACTATAACTTTCTTAACAATTGCTAGTTTGATTGTCTCAAGTTTACCAGTGTGTTTTAGTTGGGTCACAAGTGATTTCTTTTGATCAAGCAACAATTTATCAACCTGTTTACCGAGACTGCCAACAATTGGTACACAAGATTCAGGGTTCCATTCATAGGTATACAAGACTCAGCTGTGTGACGGGCAGGATGGAAATATATTCGTATTTGATATACTGATTCAGCAATTAAACATAAAGTATGTGATCTGGACTACCAGTTGTCGGACTTTCATTTTTGTGGAAGCATCTGTGGCTGAGTGGGTTAGATTGGTGACTTTGTGTGCTGGCGATTAGGTGCCTCACTCTGGCAGTGTGGGTTCAAGACCCGGACAGGACTCAACCCAAAAAAGTATGAGAATCTGTACTTTACTCAGAAAGTGTTATCCCAAATATAACATTTGTTGCATTTGACCTCTTTCTAAATGGTGTTGTGTGTTCATAAATGGCGTATGTAAACATGTTCCTTATAATTTATTATATATATATTTTTCAGTAATTTAACTTTAAATGGCACCTTTTTCCCTACTCTTTTGATATTAATGTTATGTAGTATTCAGGATTCAGGGGTGAGCAGTGGGAGTGAAAACGTTCATGGTGTTCAGGATTCAGGGGAGGCAGCCTCTTAACTAGCATGGATGACTGGTTTGCTTGTAGATGTCAAGTTGCCCACAACATACCTACCGTATTCGACATAATAAGCGCCCCGCTCTTACAAGCGCATACAGCGATATTTGCTAATATATTGGCTAGTGAACAATCCAAATTAGCACCCCTTCCGATTGATCAATGTACACAAGAATTATTTATTCGAGTATAATACGCACTCGTGTGTAATATGCACAGTTAATTATGGGCAAATAAATTCTGGAAAAATATATCTGTCGTATATAAACATTTCAGACTGTCAGCATAAACCACGAAATTTATCTTTCAACTCTGTTTTTTCACCAGAGTAATATTCTAATAAGAGCCCCCTATTTCTAATTTTGAGAGTGCCCTGGGCGCTTATTACGTTGAATACGGTATATGTTCTTTAGATCCCTTGTATGACCGCTGGGTATATTCCAGGATGTGAAACACTATTGTGTGTATTTACATCAGGACAATGTCTGTGATGGGGAAAGGGTTATGGCTGACTGAACATGTACTAGGATGAGGACTGACCAGCTCTTCACATGCTACGCATCAGCGATCTTGAAAATGGCAATATAAATAACTGACACTGGCATGGGTGGCCAAGTTATCTAATGGGTCGAAATTCACTGTGCAGAGTTATGTCCCTTAGGCATGCCAGACACCGCTGAATGAGGTTTCGAATCCCAGATCCTCCCTGACACTCATATAATGTTCTATTTATTACTGAAGATGTCTACATACAGTGACGATTTTTAGTGTTTTCCTATAAGGACAGCAAGTTGCAACAGCAACGGAACCACAATTTGGCGGATGAACAATCTTCAGCTGTGACGTTTCTAGTATGACGTCATGCCGACTTCACGTCACAATAAGATTCAAATGACATCAACAATCCCGTCCAAATGACGGAAACAATACACTGTTGTCTCATGATGTGATATGACCCTAGATTTTTACGAACTCCGATATGTTTGCCCTCGTAGGTAATAAAATGTGTTATGGATGTGATAAACCATATTAATAAACATGATATACCTATCCAATAAATATGCAAATGAGGTCATCCTACAGGAACTACTTTTAATAAATGTATATATAGATCTGATGCCAGTTTATTCAATAACCTTGATATGACATTCCACAAAAGTTGATTTAGGTTCCCTGATGTGTAAACAATCATGGTCGCAAGTCATTTGGCACTGTGTTATAAATAGGGCGGTTCACTCAGGCATTGTATTCCTACACTGTTTCTAAAATTACTTTAGCAAACAAAAATGTGTCCTCAACTTCAAGATAAAGATATTATTACACTTGTGTGTTATCATAAAGTAAATATCATAAATTAGCAATAAACAGTGTTGTGTTCACCATAACCTTGCACAAGGCATTGTTTATTCCTAATATTTAATATTTGCTATTCAAAAGCATACTCGCCTAATGATCTTTATTTAAGGCATATGCATCATGTATACTGGTGTCGCTACGTCCCGAGTTTGACTTTCAACCCTATTTCACCTTAACCCAATCGCATTAAAATCAGATCTTAGTTCTCGTTATCGCTAAACAAAGATCTGATGAAAGTGACGGACGGAATGTGTTTTCTAATCATGCAACCTCGAAAAATTTAACAGAGGGTATTCTGAACGACATTTATTGATTTTTTTTTTAATATATACTTACAATCTAGGACATCTATCAGCTATTCCAGAATGTTCTTTTTATCAGTTTTAAATTTTTTAATCGAGAATACGTCAAAATATGTTTCGAAGCGTAGTCGCCGGTTTGAAACTTGTGTTGTAAAGCTTGAGGAAGCTGCCTTCTGGTGGGCTAATGTCGATTTCTTGTCAGTCATTTCATTTGTCGGTCAAAGTTCGCGAAAGGCCGTTCTGACGTGACCCGTTATGGGATGTTTAGCGGTAGATTGACCTTAACCCCACCTCAAATCATCAAGTTGAGCAAAATGTCTGTCTGTTATACATGTGATACAATATGTTTTATGTTTAAGGGGAAACTACCTGTACATAATAAAAAGTAGTTCTGAATTACAAAGGAAACTATTTAAATTGTTTGTAACCATGGTGACTGGAGTGACATTATTTTTCAGTTGTATGGTCACAACAGGATATCGGTGCTTGACGGAGGTCTGAACAAGTGGCTGGAGAACGGGTATGAAGTTACAGACGAAGAACCCGAAGTCAAAGTAAGTAGATGCTGTTAAGAGATACCGTATTCGACGTAATGAGCGGCCAGGGCGCTCTCAAAATTGGAAATAGGGGGCTCTTATTGTAATATAATTTTGGTGAAAGAGTTGAGAGATCGTAAATTTGGTGGTTTATGCTGACAGCCTGAAATGATACAAAAGAAAAGTCTGTGCGTATTATACACGACAGATATATTTTTCCAGAATTTAATTGCCCGTAATTAAGGGTGCATAAAAGTAACGAGTGTGTATTATATACAAATAAGTAAGTCCTGTATACATTGATCAAACGGAAGGGTGCTGATTGGGATTGTTCACTAGCCAATATATTAGCAAATATCGCCGAGGGCGCTTATTAGAGCAGGGCACTTATTACGTCGAATGCGGTACTCACAATCTACATACCTCACAACTACCTCTAATGAGTGGGGAACAAGGTGCTCAGACGTCTAAGGCACAACACTTTGCTTTACAGAGTTGCTTCCCTTAAGTGTACCAGAATCCTGTTTGTGGGTTTGAAGCCCAAGTTTGTGCCATAATGGGTTTCATATTTGTTCATGGCAGTAAAATGAAAAATAAACCAAACCTTCAACAGTGGAATTTGTTTAAGCATCTTCATTTGTATCCTCGCGGCGTGGATAGTTGCTCACAATATCAATCACTGAATTGTCTGATCCAGTCTGTCAGAGACTGAAAGGATGAAAATGTTGATATTTTGGCACAGTGGGGTTCACATTAGAGCTTGACATTCAGATTTTGATTCTGCTTCTTCTTATTTTACTTTATGTGAAAGTAAGGTGAAAAAATTGATTGCGCTTTCATTGTGAATATCAATATCATTAAGTCAATTCCGAAGAGAGAAAATATTCATAACATTTGTAGAAAGTATTCAAATGTCCACTTGAAAATGCTGATATTAGCACAATCCAAAATCAGGTTCCAAAGCAAACTTTTTGGGTATGGCCTAAACCGTTCAGTGCAGTGGTATGTGATGAATGTTTTTATTGTCTGATATGTCGACTTGGTTGCAGCATCTGTCTACTATATAATGTCTTGTGATGCTCAGCAGTTCTACTAGGCCGCATCTAATTAACTACAAAATCATTTTGTACCACACTAAAACCCTATAAAAAAAAAGAAAAAAGACCACACAAACTCCCATCTATAGCACGACATTCTTCCAAATTCCAAATTTCCCCAAAGTTGAATAAGCAACCCTAGTCCCCCAGGTTTCCCTTTCTTTTAGGACATACCCCCCTCGGTAAAACCACTTATTGGCCCGGCGGGCCCGTGTGCGAAAAAAGTCGGAAAGCGCACGTAAAAACACCAACTCTCTCTCTCTCAGTCTCTCACTCAGCAGCTATAAGGATACGTCAGAAAGCAGTCAGTCAATACCAGATCTGAAAGTGAATGTTCTTTTACCGATACCTCAGTAATGTCATATGCTCTAACCTTCTATCTTCGAAGCCAAACTAGCTTTCCTCGATCAGTAGAGGTTTTACACTATCTCATTAAAATCAGATCCTAGTTCTCGCAACCGCTAAACAAAGATCTGAAGACATCCCATTAGGGGTCACGTCAGAACGACCTTTCATCCAACCAATCAGTGCGTCACTTACCAGATAATGAAAGTGACTGTCCGAATGTGATTCCTAATCATGCGATCTCGAAAACTTTAACAGGGGGTATTCCGAACAATAGTTACGGGTTTAACGACTGAATCAATATATTCTAGACCATCTGTTAGTCATTCCAGAATGTTTTTTTGTTCAGGTTTCAAATTTGTAATCGAGAATTTGTCAAAATATGTTTTGAAGCGTAGTAGCCAATTCAAAATTTATCCCGTAAAGCACGAGAAAGCTGGTTTCTGATTGGTCATTCCATTGGTCGGTCAAAGTTCGCGCAAGGTCGGGCTGACGTGATGGGATGTCCTCAGATCTTTGTTTAGCGGTAGCGAGAACTAAGGTCTGAGTTTAATGAGATTGAGGTTTTACAACATGTTACAATCAGCTCATTTTGAATGTTTTTGGTGAGCTACAGTACCTTGGTACTTCTTTATGAGGAAACATAAGTACTCCAGAAGAATAGAAACACAAGAGTAGTAAAATTGTAAATATCTGACAGAGATGCTGACATCCATACAATATTAATACCAAAAAGTAATCGGTCTGTTCTGCATTGATCCCATAATTCGGGATCTGACTGCTTCCATGGGACGACGATGCCAGTCAGTTTTGGAATCTAATGGTGGCCATACAGCATAATGAAAACGAAAGACCTTCACCTTGTAAGGCCACTGTTCCATGTGTGCCATCTTGAACCAAGGTCAATGTCAATGTGTGCCAATTTTGAACAATCAAATACCATCTGTTGATTATTAATTACACACACACACATATATATTTGTAATTAATAATCAACAGATGGTATTCGATTGTTCAAATATATATATATTAGCGGTGCAATGAATACACTGTGAGGCGAATATGATTCGTATCACGAATATATGGTAACGAATATGAATATTTAATCACGAATACAGTAACAGGTCATCAGTTGATGGTAACAAATGATTATTATAATGTTATACATTTATATACTGCACTTATCCAGGTACTAGTATCTGCTAAAATGCGACAATGACCAGTGACCACATTGCTGTCAAATTAAATATATAAGAGTGCTGTCTTTAAAGAAATCTACACATGCATATTATTAGTACTTATGGATATTTTTATTAAAATAACTCATTTTATTTTTGTTGTAAATATTCGATTCTTGTGTCCACGATTAACAAATTCAATTCATGAAGGGATACAGTTCGATTCACCGAATACATGAATGAATCATAACAGCCCTATAATATATATTTATATGCCCTCTGCCTCATGGCATACATTCACCTGATGAAGAAGTAAGTATATACTCCTAAATGTTGTGTTCCTCATAATAATGAGGGGGCACGGGTGGCCCAGTCGTCTAAGGCACTGCGATTCGCTGTGCAGAGTTGCGTCCCTTGGACAAGGCAGAAACCTATGATTGTGGGTTCGCCCCGATTATGTTTCTAGGTTTGTCAGCACCATACAGTGCTTGTGGGTTTCACCAAAGTGGTAAACGTCTGAGACCTGCATCACTTCAGGCTTTCCTCCCACATTTAGCTGACACGCAGTGATATAACTGGAATACTGTTAAAAGCAGCGTTAAACCCAACTCACTCATTATAATGAAGTTGACATCCATGTATTCTCTTCCTTAAATGATTAGTATTATTCCGTCTTCTTTCTTTTTGTCGTTATGCTGAAGGTACATGCGGCTAAGCCTGGTTATTCCACACATTAACATGGGTGGTATGTCATACATGGTGCATGTGTATATGAATTTGTGTTTGGTAATGCTTACACTGAAAATTTATTGTGGACATAGGTGAAAACCCAACTTGGCTGTCTGTTTCAGAGAGGGAATTTTACAACTCGTCTGAATCCCAATTTGCTGAGGGACTACGACACGATGGTTGACAATGTCGAGACGAAGCGTGAACAAATAGTCGATGCCCGCGATGTGGAGAGCTTCATGGGAGAGACAGATCTGCCCCCAGGTAGCCATGTTAATGTGTTTGTAGCAGGGCGTGGAGTCATCCCACAGATGATATCCTTACCTTGTCAGCTTGCTGACGGGGTTAACCTCTTTGGTCATGTGGACAAGGCGTCCGACCTCGGATCAGGTCTGTGGTTCGAATCCCATCACGGGACTCAGGAATTTTATGGCCGCTACCTTGGCGCCCAACGTGGGGCTGAGCACATTCATATTAAATTTGAGCAAAATAAGCCTCAGTACCCTACTATGCGGCCCGGGACGTGCCTTCTGTTGACTGGGGTGTTTGTAGCAGGGCGTGGAGTCATCCCACAGATGACATCCTTACCTTGTCAGCTTGCTGACGGGGTTAACCTCTTTAGGCATGTGGACAAGGCGTCCGACCTCGGATCAGGTCTGTGGTTCGAATCCCATCACGGGACTCGGGAATTTTATGGCCACTACATTGGCGCCCAACGTGGGGCTGAGCACATTCATATTAAATTTGAGCAAAATAAGCCTCAGTACCCTACTATGCGGCCCGGAACGTGCCTTCTATTGACGGGGGTGTTTGTAGCAGGGTGTGGAGTCATCCCACAGATGACATCCTTACCTTGTCAGCTTGCTGACAGGGTTAACCTCTTTGGTCATGTGGACAAGGCATCCGACCTCGGATCAGAAGGTCTGTTGTTCGAATCCCATCACGGGACTCGGATATTTTATGACCGCTACATGTTCATACCTTGTAGGCCTGAAATGCCACAGTTAATGGCATTCTAGGGTCACACTTTTCTCTGAATCACAGCATACTGATAAATTTACGTGTCAGTTAGTTTTGAGGAGTCAAAATATATACAGAAAACTACGTTTATAATGAACTTGCATATAACAGACTGACGGATATAAAAAACCGACCCATCTATTTGCTGTGTAGGCTGTATATAAGCTTATAACGAACTACGGTTATAACAAACTAAAGTTAGTGGTCCCTTTGAGTTCGTTATGACCATAGTTTACAGTATAAACATAAAGATGCTAATTCTGTTAAAAGTAAGAGTATGAAATATTTTGAATAATAACTGAAACACATGTTACTTGTGGTGTCTCCTTAGGCAAGAGGCTTTGTTCTAAAAATCCAGTGTAGTTATGCAGCCTTCAGGATATATAGAGGATATTTAATGTGTTTTCTCAAATACCACTTTTATCTCATCGAGTGAAGTGGGGAGAGTCTAATATTTTCACGAGTGACGCAGTTGAAGAGAAGCTGTGCACCTGCGGTTGAGAGAGTCGGCATCTGACGTAAACGTAATGTTTTGATTCAGGAGTTCCGGCACCTTGTTTATATCAGTCACTAGTGACTGATATAACTTTTTTATATCAGTCACTAGTGACTGATAACTTGATCTATCGTCACTGATAAATTCCAGTATTTCATTCTTATGTATATAATAATATAAGACGTTTGTTTTCATTCCTGTAACCATGACTACTGCTGCCTTTCATCCAGAAATCCAATCTGGCCACATTCCTGGATCAAGATGTATTCCATTTGAAGATATCTTCAATCCCGATGGAACATTCAAGTCTGAGAAAGATCTCAAGAAATGTAAGTTGACATGCATGATCAGTTAGGATATGTTTATTCCAAGTTTCATGCAACATGTAAAACATATTGTGGTTGGGGTTTGTTGTCAATCTCATTCAAATCAGATCTTAGTTCTCGCTACCGCTAAACAAAGATCTGAGGACATCCCATTACAGGTCATGTCAGACCGACCTTCCGCGAACTTTGACAGACCAATGGAATGATCAATCAGAAGGCAGCTTTCTCGTGCTTTACGGCACTAATTTCAAATTGGCGACTACACTTCGAAACATATTTTGACAAATTCTCGATTACAAATTTGAAACCTGAACAAAAGAACATTCTGGAATGGCTAATAGGTGGTCTAGATTGTATGGATTCAGTCAGTAACCCGTAACTATCGTTCGGAGTTACCATTTTTGAGGTTGCATGATTAGAAATTGCATTCCGACTGTCACTTTTATAATCTGGTAAGCGATGCTCTGATTGGTTGGATAAAAGGTTGTTCTGACATGACCCCTAATGGGATGTCCTCAGATCTTTGTTTTGTGGTAGCGAGAACTAAGATCTGATTTTAATGAGATTGGGTTTGTTGTTTAACATCACACTCAGCAATATTCCAGCTGTGTGTTGTGGTAAAGAATCAAGTCTGGACCTGACAAACCAGTGATTGATAGTCTATGCAGTGCAATCAACAGGTATGATGACAAGCAGACAACTCAGTCACCAGGCCTGACCACCTGATCCTCATACAACAGACCTGTGAAGATCCGGGGTAGAATAGGTCTTCAGCAACCCATGCTTGTCGTAAAAGGGGCTTAATGGGATCGTGTGGTCAGCCTTGCTGACTTGGTTGAAGCATGTCATTGTAACCCAATTGCGTGGATCGATGCTCATGATATCAATCACTGGATTGTCTGGTCCAAACTCGATTATTTATAGACCATATTTATTTATTATTCGTATATAGCTGGAATAATGCTGAGTGCGACGTAAAACAACAAACCACCCAACCAACCTCATATGACTAGTGTAGATTACTGGGGACCTATTAGGGACCGACTATTTGATATTCTGTAGGGGGGCCTGAGATTTTATTGAAAAAAATAAATTGTCCCCAAAAATTCTTGATAAAATAATTATGCTGATTGAATAGATTACTGGTCACAAAAATTACATTGCTGCAAGGTGTTTTTTATTCAGGCTCATAGTTATAAATAAAACAATATCTTGTTTTAAATATAAAAATATATGGTTTTGTAACTGAAGCTTAAAAACATCTTATCTTGATACAAAATCCCAGGCCACCCCCATGTATGTAAACATGGGTGATGGAAGAACGTAGTGTAGCCCGTGAAGTACTGATGATGATCAAAACCATATTTCGGCTATAATGTTGAAGGTGACGCACTGATTACAAAAGCAGCTGTTGTGTCGTGGACGTTGTAATGACATGCTTGTTTATATCTAACTTAGACTTAACATAGATATAATTAAACCTGTCAACTAACAAGCTGTGGTAGAGCTTGTAGAAGCATGGTCCAGATAAGCAGATAATGTCTTCTTGTGCATAGCTGTATGTTAACTGTGAGAGTTATCTCCCTTACAGTATTTGACCAGGCTGGTATTGACCTTGGCAAGCCTCTTGTAGCATCTTGCCTGGCTGGACTAACAGCATGTGGTCTTTCTACAGCAGCTCACATCCTGGGAAAGGAAGTTGTACCAGTCTACTATGTAAGTAGAAAACTCCTGTATTCATTCATAGAGGTCATGAGTGAGTGAGTGAGTTGGGTTTAACGCCGCTTTTAACAGTATCCCAGTTATGTCACAATCTCATTCAAATCAGATCTTAGTTCTCGCTATCGCTAAACAAAGATCTGAGGACATCCCATTACGGGTCACGTCAGAACGACCTTTCATCCATCCAATCAAAGCGTCGCTTACCAGATCATGAAAGTGACAGTCAATGTGTTTTCTAATTATGCAACCTCCAAAACGTTCAGACGGGGTATTCCAAACGACAGTTGTGGCCCGTACAACTGATTCCGTCAAAATTATCGTCTATCTGTCGCTTCCATGGGATAAACATTTGAACGGAGGAGGCGTTGCACAGTACGTGGGAAGCACTGCCATACAATCTCAACCTTATATTAGAAATTCCGGAATGTTCGTTTGTTCAGTTTTCAAAATTTTAATCGAGAACTGTGTCAACATATTTTTCAAGTGTAGTCTGAAATGGAAGTCGCCAGGTTGAAACGATTGCCGTAAAGCTCGAGGAAGCTGCTATCTAATTGGCTGTTGTCGACTTCTTGTTGGTCATTTCAGACCTTTCTCCTCCAATGATGATATTATTTGAATACATTTGTTGTAAACAAACTACAACAAATGTTCCTGTAGAGCAAGTTGAGCATACATACTCTCACGTCACTTCTCTTTTTGAGGAACCGTTTTATTCCGTGACACAGTTGGTTGTGTATCTGTGTATGGATGTTGGTGTAAATCTCTGTTCAACCTTGTTCTACAAAACTTGCCATATGCATTGCTCACCAGCTTAACTGGTGCCTTTTGCTATTTTGAAATTTTCAAAATTTCATTTTGTTACATTTCCATGGAAACTAATGAATATATTGCATGAAACTAGTACAATGACCATATTCTCAACTATTGCATTTTCATATTTTTTAAAGTTTTTAATTTGTTGTGTTTCCATGGAAACAACTTGGACAAAGTCTCAAACAAGTAGTGTTTATTTCCCAGCAAAACTCTGCAGTTAATGATTACTTCTGAATGAAACCGTTATTTCTCTCGACCAATATGTTGCTAGTATTGTTTTACAGACTTGCGTACACATTTACAGTAACAACTTGAACTACCGTATTCGACGTAATAAGCGCCCAGGGCGCTCTCAAAATTAGAAATAGGGGGCTCTTATTAGAATATTATTTTGTCGAAAAAAACAGAGTTGAAAGATAAATTCCGTGGTTTATGCTGACAGCCTGAAATGTTTATATACGAGAGATATATTTTTCCAGAATTTAATTGCCCATAATTAAGGGTGCATATAACACACGATTATACGCGTATTATACGCGAATAAATAAGTATTTTGTACATTGATCAATCGGAAAGGGTGCTAATTGGGATTGTTCACGAGCCAGTATATTAGCAAATATGGCCGTGGGCGCTTATTAGAGCGGGGCGCTTATTAGAGCGGGGCGCTTATTACGTCGAATATGGTAATGTATCAAAAAAAGAGTGTGGAGTAAAAACACATTCTAGTTCATCCATCCCCACCTGCCATGCTACCAATGGCCCTCGCATCATTTGTCCCCATTTACAGATGAAGAATATCACTAAACATGTTGTGTTGTTTCTTTATGGGAAGTTATTGAACTGTGCCAAGACGTGAAAACAATCAGCTACCAGCAGGCTGGTGAAATTGACCTGCCTGCACCTGTTGCCGATGTCAGTGTCTGCCATTCTAACCACATTGCCATGGAGGGACTATACTTGTCAATATGTAAATCACATCAGCAGGCAGTTCATGTTTACATTTGCCATGTTTTGTTCAACAATATAAAATATAAAAATTAATACCTCTGGCCATATATCATTGAATAGACTAACACTTAGTCAGTGAAACATTTCTTTAAAAAAATAATTTCTTCAGAAAGAACCTTTCCTCTTCTGCTATATATATATGTTGAATCAAGGAAATTAGACTTGGTTTAGTTTGATCTAGACTTGCCAAGGCTCTTCGTAAAAAAAATATATATGTATATATAAATTCCCCAGTCATGGCGCAGGACAAATGTTTGAAACATTTGGTGGAAAATGTAACAATGTGAGCATATTGTTTCATACCCACATTAAGTCGGTATTCATCAGTTAACCAAATGGGACCAGGAAGAATATTTTATGGACAATGCACTCATAACTGGACATTCATTACCAATTATGTTTTAGGCATCAAAAGCTGGCATGTCTCATTAATTGTAACAAATGTCCAGTTATGTGTGCGTTATGACTTAAAATACAGCATCGAAGTGACAAGTGAGTGTGGTTTTACACCGCTTTTAGCAATATTCCAGCAATATCACAGCGAAGGACACCAGAAATGGGTTTCATACATTGTACCCATGACGGGAATCAAACCCGGGTCTTCAGCGTGACGAGCGAACGCTTTAACCACTAGGCTACCCGACCGCCCCTCGAAGTAACAAAATACTGCATACTCAGATTTAAAGTACAGCCTGAAAGTTAAAACATATATAAAATAAACAAAAAAATACAACACAAAATGGTGCAGGGACATTACATCGCATACATATCTAATACAGGAAAATCCTTAACTTCTTGCTTCACTATCCATGCTGCATTCGAACTAGCCTGTATATTTCGTACTGCCCATGCATTTTTGTGTGATTTGATCATGTTTAGAATTTATGCATGAGCTTAAAATAGCTGTATTTTAAATAACTTCTTAATGTTGCCCCACTGGCGATCACCCAGCTGGTCACATAGAGTCCGACTGGCAGTAAACCTTTGTCACACAAGAGTTGTCCCCCTTTGACCTAGATGTTTGTGTATTTGCAGGGCTCTTGGCTTGAGTGGGGACAGAGAGCTGATACTGACTTGTGTGTAACTGGAAAGTGACAGCAGCCGGGCTCTAGGATCAGTATTGACAATATATGCAATAATCATACTATGCACTTTCATTACTGACATTTAAATGCAATAATAAAATTTATTTTCTACACAAAACTTGCATTGAAATTATATTTAAGATGATAGTGATCTGTGTCAAGATCTGCGGTCTGCACTAAACAGGGTTGTATGTTATACACTATATTATAACTTTAGTCATTATTATATTTAGGTGTTGAATGTATGGAAGTTTTTTCAACCTTGTGTTTCATGTATTGAAGTCAAATCATTCTCTTGTTTTCACATTACATGTTGTCAAGTACGAATGAATGTCCATTTGGATGAAATTTGTCACCATTTATAATAATAATTTCACTGGTTGTCTTTGTCACTGAAATAGAGCTATATGGTAATGACAAGATAGTATAGATGATTGTATGATAGTATTGGACTTTATTGCAATTGTAGCGATGTTTCACGAAGCAAGACATGTATTGTTGGCATACATCACGTCTCATATACCTAGAGTGAGTGAGTTTGATTTGAGGTTGCTTTTAACCATATTACAGCAGGGTACACCAGAAATGGGCTTCACACATTATACCCATGTGGGAATCAAACCCAGGGCTTCATCATGGTGAGCCTTACCCTAGGGCTGGGATGGGTAACTCGGGTACTCTGATCGGGTGGGTCCTAAGTAGGACCCGGGTACCCACAGGACTACCCGGACCCATGGTTAGCCACATGATATATTGTTTAATGACAAAAACTCACTATAGCTCAGTGGTTACATTACAAGTCGCTAATGTTCGTATTTCTTTCTGACGATGCACACATTCATTTGACTTACCGTATATATGTTTGAGTAAAGATAAAGCTTCAGCAACGTTCAGTGAACACATGATCTGATTGTTTGATACATGTATCTAATTGGTTTTAGCCAGGGCTGCGGTAAAACAATAAAACAATTACCAATCAGACATTTTGTTCCCAACTCTTGAGACTTGCAGTGGGTACCCGGGTAGGGTCGGGTACCTGGGTAGTAAATTTGGACTCGTCCAAGCCCTACCTTACCCACTGGGCTACCCCACCGCCCCGCCTACTGTAAATCTTGAAATTAACGCGAGTGTGAATTAAATGAGAAAAATGCGAGTGGTCTTTGTGACTGCGTCAAAGGACGACACGAGCCAGCGTGCATGTATTGCTTTAGCGGAAGTACTTTACTCAGCACTAATAAGCGGTGCTACTTGGTGTGTGATTGGATTGATGTAAGGTTGGATTAAGGTGAGGATTCTCCTGTAAACCTGACAGAGGACATTCTAATATTGACACAGTCAGCAAGCAGACTGATAGAGATGACTGGAAACGTCGCACTAATTGTAATAAAGAAGTTGTTCGTCCATAGAATTTGTCTTTCTTCATCATGTTCATCACACCAACTTCTAAATGCCACTGAAAGAAGTTACGATTTATACCTAGTGTTATTTGTGAACGAATACATGTTCCGTAGCAGATCTCTTTTGACTCTGTTATATTGAACTTTACTGATTTCACACGAGTGCCTTGTATGTATACCACTTTTGATAAAGATTTAACTTGACGAGAAAAAGTTTACCTGTACATATAAATGTTTTGACTTTTTAAGCTGGATGATGCAGATGGGTTCTCTCAGGTGAAACTGTTACAGGAATAGCTCTATCTCACCACAGGATATCAGGATATTAACTTACATAAAATTTCAGTGAAAATGTTCCGACCCTGTAGTGAAAAGGTTCTGGTCGAATGTTGGGTGTGTTTAATGAGTGATGTTCCTGTTTATTGTTCATGTGCAACAGGGAAACTAAGACATACAATCACAATACAAATAAACATAATCTGAATGAAAAACAAAAGAATATGATGTAAAAGGAAAGCAAGAAACAAATCCTGATAGTCAGTTAAGGATAAAGACAAATGTGAAAACATGTACCGTATTCAACGTATTAAGCGCCCCGCTCTAATAAGCTCCATCCCAGTTAGCACCCCTTCCGATTGATCAATGTACCCAAGACTTATTTATTCGTGTGTAATACACACTCGTGTGTTATATGCACCCTTAATTATGGGCAATTAAATTCTGGGAAAATATATCTGTCGCATATAAACATTTCAGGCTGTCAGCATAAACCACGAAATTTACGATCTTTCAACTCGGTTGTTTTTCACCAAAATAATATTCTAATAAGTGCCCCCCCCTATTTCTAATTTTGTGAGCGCCCTGGGTGCATATTTCATCAAATACGGTAATTATGACAGAAATGGATAGAATGCAGAGCCATAAACGCAACAGACATCAGAAGTATTGCTGTACAAGAATTCCATGAAATGACTGTGTTTATGTCAAATAAATTAAACCAAAAGGCAGTTGATAGTGAATACTACGGCTGTCACGATGAAGTATCAGGAAGACTTAGCAGGATATGATATTCTTTTTGACCATGGTCAGAGATTTTTAAAAAAACCATTTGTTTACAGAATTTTTAAAAATGTAAAAGGAAATGTCAAAGAAGAATTTTCACAATTCTGTTTTGATAAATCTAAACTTTATTTCATCACAATTGTTTATCTTGGTTGATTTGGATGAAAATAATTTCATATCAATAATCGCTAATATTTCTTCCCATTGACGATAGTTCTGATATCAATCTCTTTAGCCAGGCCTAGTGTATGGAACACCTGTCATTTCAAACATGCAGCTATTCGCTAGATTTGTAATGTTTTGCATGTATAATTTTTAGGAAATTTGGGGGTGGGGGGTGGGGGGTGGGGTGGGGTGGGGTTACTTAGTGTAGCTATTAGCTTCAAACAGACTAAAAAATAAACAGTTTATACATTAGACTGTGTCATGTAATTTTACTATTTTTATGTATTTTTGTCCCATAAATTCTTTCGTAGCCATCAAAGATTTAGCACTCAGAAAAAAATAATTAAAGCCTTTTTTATTTAGTTTTCTTACTGTAGCTGTTCACACACAGAGTGCAAGGCACAGATACCACCAGACAATCTTACCATACAATCAGTAACAATGCTACACTGACATACTTTAAAAATATGTATTGTAATCTGTCTTCATAGCACCATTACATATACAGTATTCGACGTAATAAGCGCCCACAGCGATATTTCCAAATATATTGGCTATTGAACAATCCCAATTAGCACCCCTTCTGATTGATCAATGTACACAAGACTTATTTATTCGCGTATAATACGCACTCGTGTGTTATATGTACCCTTAATTATGGGCAATTAAATTATGGGAAAATATATCTGTTGTGTGTAAACATTTCCACGAAATTTAGATCTTTCTACTGTTTTTTTTCACCAAAATAATTTTCTTATAAGAGCCCCTATTTCTAATTTTGAGAGCGCCCTGGGCGCTTATTACGTCAAAATATGGTACTAAAAACACTACGCCATGAATTCTTTGGCCACATCATCACTCAATACAGGTGATGTGATTCTTCCAGATTGGAGTAGTTGTGTTTGACAGTATTGTTCTGGCTGTATGAGGCGTTAATTACCATTTTGGCAAAGGCTGCTTGACACTTGAAACAGAGTGGCCTGTCAGACCCAGCAGCTTTGTATTCTGAAATTAAGCTGTTTGTTTCCAGTGTTTACATCAACATCAAGTAATATTGATTATCGGGCAGTATTACATATTCAGATGAGCTTGACATGGAGGAAAATGAATAGAACTTATTAAAAACTTTGTTGTTTGAAATGTTCCTTGCTGCATGTACTAAGTTGTGTAGGGCTCATAGTGTTGTCTGAAAAGTATTTACAACTGTAGCTAGAATAAGTTGCTTTTTGCCTGTTTATGAGAAGCTGATGATGTTTTATGTCATCTAAGATATATTGAAAATAAAGCTTGTATTGAGTATATCCATGTGGGTGTGTGTTCTTGTGTAGCAGGGTGTGGAGTCATCCCACAGATGACATCCTTACCTTGTCAGCTTGCTGACGGGGTTAACGTCTTTGGTCATATGGACAAGGCGTCCGACCTGTGATCAGAAGGTCCGTGGTTTGAATCCCATCACGGGACTCGGAAATTATGGCCGCTACATTGGTGCCCAACGTGGGGCTGAGCACGTTCATATTAAATTTGAGCAAAATAAGCCTCAGTACCTCACTATGCGGCCTGGGACGTGCCTTCTGTTGACGGGGGAGTATGTAGCAGGGTGTGGAGTCGTCCCACAGATGACATCCTTACCTTGTCAGCTTGCTGATGGGGTTAACCTCTTTGGTCATGTGGACAAGGCGTCTGAATTCGGATCAGAAGGTCCATGGTCCAAATCCTGTGATTCGGAAATGTTATGACCACTACATTATGAAAGACACACGCTGAAGTGGTCGTATGATGCAGGGTACCCTAGGTGGAAGCTGAGTACAGAAATGTACCCTAACTGATCACTGCATAGCGCTTGCGCCAATGGACAATGTAAATCAACGGTGCTTGAACATTTTAACTAGTTCGCACCTGCAGGAAGACTTGACGATGTGTTGACTGTGTTTTTCAGACCCACTTTTGCAGCTTTAATCATGCATTCTCATAAGATCTGTTTTGTTTCAATGCACATGTAGCAGGGTGTGGCGTCATCCCACAGATGACATCCTTACCTTGTCAGCTTGCTGACGGGGTTAGCCTCTTTGGTCATGTGGACAAGGCGTACAACCTCGGATCAGAAGGTCCGTGGTTCGAATCCCATCACGGGACTCGGAAATTTTGTGACTGCAACACACAGTTGCCATGTTTTAACAATAATGTGTTCCACCAAAATGAGTCTCTACAAATAAAAGGAATATGGTTGTGTGTACTGTTTCACGTCTCTGCAGTCTCCGGCTAGGCACACTTCTGTATTCTGATTTCAGCCAGGGATGTATTTCTGTGTACCCAAAAGAACAGCCTATATCAGTCCTAATTTAACTTCAAAGCACATATTTCAGAAGCATATATTAAGAATGCAGTATTCATATACATTAACATTGAGTTACACTGATGGTCATTGCACTACAATGACAGGACCCTAGGGCTCTTGATGAATGCCATGCTTTCACATGTAATGTTTACAAGATCCACAACTGAAGGGATCAAGGGGAGGTAACTTGTGTCAGACTAAGTTTTTCTATCGGATTATCACAATAACCTATGCTTTCTGAAAGAGGTAACTAAACGAATCGGCTGATTTGATTGATTGTGTGTCATTATACCCTAACAGCTTGCGACGCTCACAAGATCAGTCACCTGCTCGTTTGGTCCTGACTCAAAAACTTCAGTAACTGAACTATTGCTGTGTGTGGTGTTTAACAGCAAACAAGCAGGACAAATGTGTAATGGTTACATCATGCGTTTGGCTTTGATAAGTGTTCACTCTATCAACCATTGCTGTTGCTGTTTCAAGGTTGATGGTCAGGTTTGGAGACTTGGTCAACAGTGTGTTCTCATATTTCGAATTGTTGCTCACAATATCGATCACTGGATTGTGTGGTCCAGACATGACTATTTACAGGCTGCCATCATAATTCATCTCAAACAATAAACAAACAAAATAATGTGGGAGGAATGTCTGATGTGAAAGCACCCTCCTCCCACAGAGAGGGAGCGATAACTTGGGCTATTGTTGGTGCTGCTTCAAGGCTGATTTTTTTTAATCTGGTGGGTTGTGGCTCAATAATTCCATTCATCAAGTCATTGTCATGTTAATGTTTAGGCCC